ACACACACACACACACACACACACACACACACACACGCATGCCTGTGCGTGAGCGCGCGCGTGCAAAGAAGGAGGAGAGATAAGGACGATAGATGTTAGATAGGAAATGAGGAGCAAACCTCAGCAGAGCACTGTCAACCACCAACTAAAATTGCTGCGTCTGTAATAAGTCACAGTGTGACAGTGGACATTGGATTGGAACAGACGATGCTGGTATCGACTCGGGACATCTTGGAACAGATGGCAGTCTCATTTGTGAAAATGTAAATTAGGTCAGAAAAACCCTCACTTATTTACATACTTTTATTTTGTTTGCCTTGCTTTATTTGGTCCTGTTTTGAATTTTCTCGTGGTTTACAGTCAAAGGGCGGGCAGCTAGCTAAGTTGGCATTATGCTAGGCTATGGTGCTGATGAACATGGTTCAAATCTCCTGTGTCGCGTTCTTGAACGCTTTTACCGGAATGTTCTCAGATCTCTTTCTACTTGGCTTTGTTTCATTGAAGACGAACTTTGTACGTTCTGGGCGGTTCAGCCTTTTAGAATCCTTACAGTGTTCAAAGGGGTAAATATAATATATAAACCATAATATACCACTGAAAAACTGAAAAGTTTTATTTGTGGTTACGACCATGTTCTACTACAGCAAGCGTCCATTTTTGTGTTTGCCATAGAAACGATGGTATCACGGATAAGTGGACAGACGTTTTCATCGTTTGCTTACAAGTGATACCAAGAGATTGCTATGTGACAGTTGATACAAGGAAAGGGATTCCCGTCAATATTATATTATTATGATTCTTGCTTTTGTTTCACCTTAAACTGTCCTCGTGGTTTTATGCACCCCGCATAATTTAGCAAAATTTGATCTTTTTTGTGTGTGCATAATTTCTGATTATTTTCCTCTATCATTCTTTGTTAAAATTAACAGAATCGCACAATTTCACATTTGTGGGTTCAGTTTGTATAATTTCAGAAATATTTGGGGGAATAAAACCACGGGGACAGCTTAAAGGACCAACAAGTAAGGCGACAGATAGCCTCATTTTTTCAAAGCATTCAGCTCAGTATATTTGCTCAAAAACTCACCTGTCTTTGTGTTTAGCGTCAACATTTGTAATCATTTCTTAAAATGTTAATTTAGCGAGCTCCTTGAGACTCATTTTATCACTGCTGCTTAGGTCCGGCCAAGATTCACGTTTACCTTCGCACGCCTGCACACGGACATAGCGATATACGCTCTTATACTTCCTCTGAGCGTCCAGAAATAGAGGCAGCTTGTCCAAATACATGTGTACAGAAAGGAAACGCATGATACACACATACATTTGTCAGCAGCTGGATCTAGACACGATGGAATACAGATTCGTACACACACACACGACACACACACACGCTCGCAGAATTGGTCTTAGTCTAAGATACAACATGTAATACTTTGCTTACTTTTAAGTCTAAAAATCACTGCTTGATTGAATGCTTATTTTCTAAAAAGGATTTATACACATACATTGATAACAGTCTAGATGTCCAAGTCCCCCCTTTTAAATCTATAAATATGTAAATTGATTGATTGAATAATTGATTGCTTTTTTAAAAAACGATTGGTACATGACGCTCTTAACAATCTAGATATCCTTCCCCCCACCCCTCCCCCCTTCCCTAATGCTCAGAGTGGGCATTGGCCGGTCAGCATTACGTGGCGTACGCCTCCCTGGTTGTCCTGGTCCTGGGTATGCTCCTTCAAGGCGTGGCCAAGGGTCCGCGATTTTCCTTCTCCGCCACGTATGTGGACAACAACACGGAGCAGGTCAACACTGGTTACTACACAGGTGACTACATGGCACTTTCACTGTCTCTGTCTCAGTCCCTGAACCCTCCCCCTCTCCACCCCCCCTCTTTCTCTCTCTCTCTCTCT